ATCCCGCTCGTCCTCATAAGTGCCTTGCTGGGATTTACATCCTGGAGGCTGAGCCATTGAGGAGCTTTTCCAGGTGTTTCCAGCTTCCTCTTCCCCAAGCACTAGCTGAGTCTTAATTGAATGGTAGACCAGTGTATTTTAAAATTTGAAATGCGCATAGAAAAAAAAGCACATGTGCGGTGGGGAAGGGCCTGCTATGTTGTGATAAGAAAAGCATTTTAAGTGTCTCCCTCCCTTCATTGATCCAGGGTCCAAGTCTCTGAGGCCACCTGGCCTTGGAGGAATGGAAACCAAGACAAGACTAATGAATGAAACAGGCCCCAAACTCAGTCTCTGCATTCTTTATTTTCTTATTTTCCTGCATGTTGTGCTTGAACCTGGCAAACCACACAGAGGGCTTGGAAGTATTTTCCCCAGTTTCCCTCCTGTCCTTATGAAACTGTGCCAAACCCTCCCTCCCTGTGCCAAAACTGCAGTGACAAGGTCAGGGTTAGCCTGGTCCTCTCCCTCGGTTGCTAGACAAACCTGGAAGGCATTCGCATTTTTTACACCCTCTGAGGCCTTCCCTTCCAGGACCCCCCAGAAATGCACCGCCCCCGTTGTCCTGGCTGCTGCTCCTACCTCAACACGCCGCCTTTCTGTCTTGCCTCCTAGTCTGCTGCTTCAGCGGTCACCTCCCTCCCTTCCACAGGGATGGCACCTGCTCCAAGTAGCACAGCCCAGCGCACAGAGGACCAAAGCACTGAGTGTCACGTCTGAGGGCTGCCCCAGCCAGAGGTACAGAAGACCCACTCAGGAAAGGAAAGTGCTGGCAACTCCAAGGCTGGCTGGTGGGAGCCGTCCCCATCTGCACGCCGGGCAGTGGGCCCAGCGTACTGCCCCACCTCCTTCCATCTGAGCCCGTTCCTTGTTTCCACCACGCCGAGCTTCTTCGCTCAGGACCCTCCACCTGAGGCCTGCCCTCGCAGCCTGAAGCCCCGCTCCACCTTCTCGAGGGTCCCCACAGGACAGAACCAGCCTGGCCCCCGCCACCTCTCACTTCCCAAACTCCTGTCCTCCCTAACATGCCTCATGTGTGATCACACCTGGCAGCTCCCGATTTCCTTCTGACACCCACTTTCTCTTCCTGATACAGCCAAACACGACCCGCCCTTCACAGGAATGCAGCCTGACTCCCGAGGCTTCCCTCCACACCCACCTGTAGGCTCAATCTCGCAAACCCCCCCTGCAGGACTGCGTAACCTTGCCCAGACCCCTCCGACACCTCCGCTGCCTCCCACAGACTCCCACAGACTTGAAGCTTCACATGTCCGCCATGTCTTTTATTCCAGGTGGGGAACCGTGGGGCCACTCTTTAACAAAGACATTTCTAGTTTTTTTTTAACATTATACAATTCCAAAATGCTAATTACAGACATATTTCTAACCACCAGGCAAAAAATTTACAAATGGAAACCACCCCCAATCCCACCTTGGGAGAAAGCCATTTCAATCTGAAACATCCACCATCCACTTTCAGTTTTTATAGAAACGTTTCACAGCCTTTCCAAACACGGGAAAGTGTGCCCACGTTTTATAACCTCCATCTCTCACGTAAAAATAATCTGTTCAGGCCACTTAAAGCAAGATGACTGGATCGGTTCAGATGCACCGCAGTGTGCTGTCAAGAGCCATGAGCACCCTCAGGCCCCTGAGGCCTGCCCCGCCACCCTGTCGTCACCCACAGAGGGCAGCCACTTCCCCAACTTCTTACAGCGGAGCTTTGCCTGAAGTCACTTGTAACATTCCCTCTTCCTCCAGGTACCAACACCTACCATTGCCCCCTTCACCTGGCTCATCCCCTCAAACATGAGTTATTTTAGAAGTCCCAACTACCTCCAATCTGTACACATCAGAGCTTCCCTAAAACACGATCACCCTCGGGCTAAAAGCTCTGAATAGCCTAGTGCCCACAATGGAAACCAAACTCTCAGCCCTACCACCTGACAGCTGCCTGCAAAAACCACTTGAGTTGCTTGAAAAGCCTGTCAAAGGCCACTGCTTGAATGCCTCTGTGTGAATGCCCACGAGCCCTATGGGAACCCTCCAAGTTCTCTTTTTCATCGTCTCCTGAGGGCATGCTTACTGATTTTAGAGAGGGGAACGGAGAAGGAGGGAAACGATCAGTTCCCTTGCAGGTGCCCTGACTGGGGAACAAACCCACAACCCAAGCATGTGTCCTGATCAGGAACCGAACCTGTGACCTTTAGGTTTACAGGATGACACCCTAACTGAGCCACAGCAGCCTGGGCTCCAAGTTCTTCACATGGAGCTGAAGCTGCCCCATTGCAAAACCTTCACGCTGACCCTGGCTTTGCCTATAACACCCTCTTCCCCAAGGACACAGAGGGGACACTGGTACTTCTGGATAACCAGGGCTGAAACTGTCCTGGTGACCCCGGTACCCCTGTGAAGTAGCTATGCTCTGGATGAGAGCTACCTGGCTGGTCCCCACTCTTCTCCCATGGCGGAGACCCCAGGGAAAACCAACCACTCTACACACACGTCTGTGAAGGTGGCCGGCACAGCCTCTGCTGGTCGAGGCCCTGGCAGGTGAGGTCCTAGCACCACCAGAGCACAGCGACCGCTCAGTGGCAGGACTCAGGATGGAGGCCCTGGGGCCATCCTCCTCCAGGTCCCATGCCTTGTGCAGCTAAAGTCAATCTGTTCTGAGTGCTTCATCCCCTTCCAACACTCACACCCTGGCACCCCACACACCCCGACTCACACCACATCCCAGTGGCGGCAACTGCTAGCGGCACGCTGGGCTGCGCCCTCCCCCAACGGGCAGGCATCCATCCTGGCCCTGACTCTTACGGGGCTGCAACCCACCCTCTGCTCTTGTCCACACTCTCGAAGTAAGATCCAGTCACAAGGTAATAAGGAGGCCTACATCGATCGGAGGAGTGCAGAGGAGGAGCTCCTCCCCACCCGAGGGCCATGTGCCGAGCACCCCCACCCCCAGACTCAAAGCTGGGGGGTGAGGACCAGGGCAGGGCCAGGACTCCCGGCCCGGCAGAGGTTTTCACTGAACACACATGCACCCCCACGCCCTCTCCAAAATTAAGGAAACCATTCCTTTGAGTGTAAGACAGGTTTCTTTTATTAATTTTTCCTTAACTCGTGTCATGTTTACTGAATGTTTTTTGTAGTGTAAGAATGTGACCTGGGACTTTAACAAACCAGTCTGGATAATGCAACCTGGATAAGCGCTTGTCTGCACTAAGTCACCGATTATGATTATCACACTCTCTGGCCTGGCCTCCGAGTAAATCCAACTGGTCTTAACAGACAGTAAGCAGACCATATCACCTTATTTCTAGTTTAAATTTGAACCTTCAAATTCACCCCCATCCCAACACCCACGCCCTCCCCCCACACAAAAAAAAAAAGTATTAGAAATGGCTGTTAAGGACTGAGTCAACTGCGCAAGAATTGGCTTGATCCTACAGCCAGCACTCCAAAGCAGCTACTGGCCTCCCTGCGGGCCAGCTGGAACTCTCAAAGTATGACAGGCAGAGAGCGGGTGGCGGCGGCTCTACGGGGCCAGCTCCTGGCTGCCACGCATGCGTATGCACCAGCATAAACACACTTGCACCTTCCTTTTCTCTAAGCAGTGTTTCTCTGTAGCACTTCAGAGATTGTAACACCCTAAAATTTTTCAGTGTGCAGATGGGCAGAAACTTATTCTAAATGCACAAGGTATAATCATGTTTCTAACAACGTAAGCCAAAATTAACAGAGAGGCACTCTGTTATACAGAAAATAATTATTGCAAAGATCAAAAACATAACCAACAAAGCTTATAACAGTTTCTAAGGCAAGTACCAGCTCTGGCCTCTTAATATTGGCTTCCCTTGGAGTTTCCAAACCGCCTCACTCCTGCCAACGCTGCCCCTACAGGCAGTCACCGGAAGTGCTTCGGTGCCCCGGACGCTGGCTGCACGGGAGGGAGGTGTTGCCCAAGTCCAGCACCACACTCGTTAACACTAATTTCAGACACATCCAGTACAACCCAGTGTATCTTAGTTTTCTGTATGATCTGTCAGCTGTTAACACATACAAAATTGGCAGATTCATGACAGATATTAACACAACACACAAGTGATTGTGAATGAGCTTTAAAAAAAGAAACAACAACAACAAAAAAAACCGCTGGTCCTGGGACTTCAAGATATACCTCAAATTTACAGAACATCTCTCAGCCGAATGCGCAGGCCAGGATACAAATCTTTACACCATAATTAACAAGAATCAACTCCTCGGGTAAATCTATCATGCCTGTAATCAATGAAACATACTTTCAGGAACGTGCTTCCCCAGGAAGGGCATCCAGGTCTAAGATCCTCAGTCAACAGCTCGCTCCAGTAAGGGCCTGTTTTCCCGGGGGGTGGCACATGGCACCTGTAATGGGAGCCCCTTTACTGGGAGCAGAGGCTAAGAACAGGGTGGGAGTGGAAGTGAAGCAGAAACACACTGGGACTGGAAAGTGGCTCAGAGCATGCCTGTGTTGTGCTGTTAGCCCATGCCATGCCACACTCCGGCCCCCAGGAAGAGGGAGGCCCCGCCCCACACCAGGCGGGGGACTCCGTGGCGATCCCCACCACGAACTTCTGGGGCACAGTTACGGGTCCTGTCGCTTACATCCTAACAAGCGGTCTGCCTGGTGGCCGGTCATTGTTTCTGCTAGAGCTCAACTTCCCCGAACAAGCTTGTCTTTGTAGAAGCATGATTTAAACACAAAAGGAGTGAAGCATAAGCTCAGTAAGACTAACTGGACTTCTAAATAGTACCATTATGAAAAAGATAGAATGCACTTAATTTCTGTACCTAACTATTTAGAAGTCAAAATGCTCCATACATTACCTATATCCCTTCCCCCAAAATCCCCTAAAAACTAAGAAATGTCCAGTATTAGATTGCTCTAGTTGATGTTCGGAACAAAGTTGACAACTTAAAGCTTTATAATAGTCTGTTTTAATATAAACAACTGTTGGAATCAATCAATGTCCATCTCAGGAAGCTTCTTGTCTGAATCCGAAGGCACAGCCGAGTCTGGGCCCTGCCCGGCGGCCTGCGGACCGGGGCTGTCTCCTTGTCCGTCCACTGGTCCGTTCTGCTCGGCATTACTCTGCTCCTCCTTTGGAGGTTCCACTTTGGGTTTGGGCTTTGAAATTATAGGGTTACAGACACTCATCAGCTCCTACAATGGTAGAAGAGAAAATTGTGCTTTCTTATAAAATAATAAATTTTACATGTTACACAAAATCCAAGTCCATCCTCTCCCACCTAATCCCCAAATCAGAAGCTGAGATGCAGTAATGAAGTTCCCTCCAAAATATCCCTTTAAGAACTACTAGTAATAAATAGTAAGGCTGACAAGAAAGCACTATTTAAAAGGTAAAGCCATTAAATACCTTAATTTTAGCTTCAATGTCCTTTGTCTTGACAACCGGATCCAGGGCCAGACTCTGCTTGTTCTGCAGGTTCAGCTTCTTGTTCATCCACTCCATGGCCTCGTTCGTGCTCTTCTCCACCTTCGTCACGTCGGCAGCGTCCAGGTGGTCGTACTGGTCCTCCTGCAAGCAGCCATCACAACGAGACGGTGTCAAAGGATGGCTTCCCTACCCGAGTGTCGCCTAGTGCTTCAGCCTTCCAAGAAGTCACAATCTTTCCAAAATAGAGCACACCTTCACCCTCACGATCTAAATATTCAATTCCTTAGAAATCCAAGAAAGGAAAGGTAAACTCAATTTTTTAAACTTAAATAGATTTAAAGGTCAAAACCTTACATTAAGGCTGCAATGAGAAGGCCTCAGTGGTATAAACTGCACATACTTGACACAGAGATCTTAAGGAAACACTGCGTGTCCTCAGACATGAGAGCTGAGGTTTACGCATGCCTGCCAGGAACCCAACGGTAGTTAAACACAACTCTTTATAGGAAGCCTTCGGGAGGCAAAACTTAAAAACCAAAAGCAAGGTGCCTTGTTAGCACAGTAGGCAGCGTGTCAGTCTCCTAAAAAACAAAAACAGAAAACCAAAAAACGAGTTCTATTTCTCCCTTTCAAAGTTTCTTACACAAACAATGCACATCAGGAAGCAAGAGCACAGTGGAGTGGGGTTAAGAATCCGAACTCTGGGGTCAGACCTCCAGCCAGGTCTCGGCACCCCTAAGTAATCTGGGGTGTTGCTTACGGACAGTGAGGCTTGAAGAGCGGGACGTCACCCAGAACTGCTGGTACCGCCATCTGCTCCGTAGGGTGCTCGTGTGGACTCAATGAGCAATGCGTGCACGAGGCGACCCCACGCAGCGCTAAAACACTGGTCAGCAGCAGTTTCCTGCTGAGACAGTCCTGCATCTGCAGACCAAGCCAAATCACACACCTAGTGTGTTCTCAGAAGGACCGGGCCCAAGGAGGCTAAGTCACCGAGGAGGCATGCACAGCGAGGAATGGAAATAAACAATAATGCTCGGTCCCAGCCAGATCCCACCTATTAAAGTGGCAAATCCCAAGGTTCTTAGTAAGATTTGATAAAATATGTACTACATTAACATCTAAAAAGAAAACAATATTAAAGAACACTTCAAGAGAACAAGAGAATAAATAACTCTACAAATGTCTCAAAGCTTTAAGTCTACCAAAACAGTAGTAGGGAAGAGGAAAAACAAAGATACCTTGTTTTTGAATGAGCTGATTACTTTCATATACTGCTGGATTTGTTTCCCTAGTTCTTCAAACAATTTTGGTCTTTCTTCAGATTCCTGGAATCTTATCTTAATAGGCTGACCTAGATTCTTAACAAAAGAGAGAACATACAAATTCTTCACAGGGCAGCTTAAACTATCAGAGTAGCACTGTTTCTACAATTACTAAAATTGATTATGGATTAAAGTACATTTAACCTCAATGAGCAATCTAAGAAATTAAATACTTCCCACGGCCCACTGAAAAGCACATACAGGTTGGGCAAGGGTAGGTTTAGAGCTGTGAATACACACAACGGAGTTTATTCTTTTATTATTCTTTCTTAATCAGTGTATTATTTCCCGTGCAGACTGTAAACCCGCTCCTGCTCCACCCTGTGTCCTCCCTCGGGTTAGAGGGTACCAGTGTTTCTTGGTACTGTTCCCTGTACAGCCACTGCAACTGTCGCCTGAGTCCCCATTCTCAAAACCCCGCGAGAGACAACCAAATACCAGGTGCCTGCTGACAGTGACCCCAACACTAAATACGAAGTACCGCTGCCAAGAAGAATTTTAAGCCTGAATCTTAGGAAGCCTCTAGATCTATCCATCAATTACCAGATGTTAAACACCACAAAGATGAAAATCAGCAAAATCCAGACTGGGGCAAAACCAACGGGACAATGATCTTCCTTTCACGGAGTGACGGTGGAAGGAGAACCACACCGGCCGCGTTAGGAGACTCACTGTGCCGACAAAACGTATGGACCTCACCTGCATCCTGAGTCAAACCTAACAAAATAATGCGAAATACCTGGAGCCTGAAAATTGACTGTAGATATGGTGATGTTAAGGAATGTTTTAGGTGGGTTATGGCAGAGTTTAAGGTTACATCTTCTTTTAAATACCTACTGAGATATTTTTGGATTAAATATAATATGCAGAACTTGCTTCAAGTAACCGAGAGCAGAAATGAAACAAAATTGGCCACGAGGTGACAGCAGCTGAAACTATTCTTCTCTCTCCATCCATGAGTTTGACATCAATGAGAAGTAAAGCAAAACCCTCAGCGGAAGAGCTCACTGGAGGCTCCTGTTTTAGTCACCATGGCCTAGTCTGACAAAAAACTAAGTAACCTGAAGAAACGGGCAAAGTCTTGTGCATTTGCATCCTCTCCCAGACACCTTGACTTCAGACAGCTCTTTGTCCTTGAACTCTCTGGCTGAACGATCGGATTCTTCAAGTAAAAACCTGATGCTTTGCTTTGCTGAGAACCGCAGCCACACCCACCGCCCTGCCCAAGTTCAGGACAGGGACACGTCTGGCACATCTTTGCATCTCTAGACACCAAGAAAGCACTCAACTCCAATACAGTAACATTTCAAGTCTAAATGTTCTGATAAATTCTTTTGTTACTCTAAGTACTGAAAGTGAGAAAGTTAATGAACCTAAGCAATAAAACATATAGTTCCTCAATCACTTTCAGCCTCTCTTCATTACTTGACGTAAGAATTCCTCCCAACTCTGAGATGCTCTCCTTGGCAACTATAGCACCAGTTCAGGACATTCTGTTTTCAAAAGACACTTACTTTTAACTCAGCCAATTTGTCGACGTAAACTTGCTTTGGCTGGTCTTCTCCATCCTCATACAACCAGTTTTCGGTATCTTCTAGTTTCAAGGTAAAACTGTTACGATCCTAAAGATGAAGAAAACATTGCACTTAGGTCAGCTGTGATTCGCCCACCTAGCAGACTCCATCACTTCTGAAACAGCCGATTCACTCGTGGAGTCACAGGCGCAGACTGCGATGCAGCGGCATTTCCTTTAAAATGTGAGGGGCATGTAGGAGATCAGAAAACAAGACTGGCCAAATGCTGTTCTGCTTGACAGGTCCAGTCCAGGGAGGTTTATGATATTCTCTGCTGTAAGCAACATTTGGGTATTTTTGAAAATTTCAGAATTAGAAACTCCATTTACAAATAAGTTAAAATAAATACCAGGGAAAAATTAGCTGATTTAAAGAAAGACACTAGGTAGGTAACAGCTTGCACACGTATCTAACAGCGACACACACAGACTAACCTTTAGGAAACAGAACATTCCACTAGCAGACATGAAACGGTACTTCCGAAAACAGTGCACTTGAATCATTTCACTGTAGACCTACAAACGCACACTCCCCTTCTAACACATTCAGGGACGATCCCGGAGACACGTAACAGGTGGAGCCACACTGTGGCCCTTACTTACGTCCTCACTCACAAACTTCTCGTATTCACCACTGAGCTTGTCTCGCATTTCATACACATACTCTTCCACTGCGTTCTTAGCGTCGTTCCGCTCCTTCTCCAGTTTATCCTGCATGATCATCTTACCCTACGGACAGCAGCGATCCGTTAAACGTGCACGTAATTGTAAGACCACATCCCCTCAAATACCAAATAATATAATTATCAAAACAGGAAATCCTTCTGCCCCAAACCCTTTCTATTCTGCAAACCATCCGAGAAAGCAGACCTGGACACATCAGGCCTCAGTGCAACATGAAGACCCAGCGAGAGTCTGTGGGTGTGCTTAGAGAAAAGGAGCCACGTGGGCGGCGGGGGCTGAAGGGAGGTGGAAACAGGTACAGGGAGGATAACTGGTGACGGAAAAATACAAATTAAAAAAATAAATCAATACTTTTTAAAAAGAGCAACAGAAATATCAAGATGTAGAAACTCAAAAGCAGAATTAGTAAGAAAAAGGATTTGCAGCGAGCACTGTTATGAGCTCAAGGGCACAGCGGTGCCTCCACTGTGTGTCGCTCTGATGGAGCGCCAAGAAAAACCAAACGATTCACACGACACAGATGCTGGAGGCCTGTAAAAACAAAACCATTCTAAGATCTAGTGAACAGATGATAAGAAACCTCACAGGCAATAATTAATTCAGTAGAAATGCTCCAGGGTCCGGAACCCTGCATCACTCATATCACTGACTGGCAACAGGGGAAGGAAGTGACCACCAACCAGAGCTGCCGTCAGTGCTGCACAGAATTCTTCCCACTGTCCATTTCCAGGACCCACAACCGGACACGCCCCAACCCGTGGCGAGCAAACACACTCACACACCCAAACGTGACCGCCATGTTCCCTAAACCAAAGCCGTAATGTCAAAATCTCGTAACAGAAATTCTAGCAATACACATATACTTTTGCCAAAAATCTAACATTTTTCTCAAACTCCAAACAACCAAAAATGCCTAACCTAGAGTTACTAGATGCAGAGCTTAAACATTCTACCGTGTTAATTTGTTAGCTTATTGTTCTGAGACTTGAAATTATCACCTCATTTTCAATATACAAGTTGAGCATCTCTCTGTCTATCTGCCATAACAGCTGGTTCTCAATTGGCAGGTCCACGGTGCTGGTCTTCACTTTTGCCTTCTTGGCTTGAGGTGGCTGATCCATCTTTTTGTCTTTTGATCCAGCTTGGGAGGTCTAAAGAAAGAAAAATCATTAAGAATGAACACATAAACAGACTACATTAAATTTCTGAGTGGGTCCCATTTCCAAAGCTGTTCTTGCTTTTGTAGTAACCTTGTTGTGTTTTTTTTAAGATTTTTATTTATTTATTTTTAGAGAGGGAAGGGTGGGAGAAAGAGAGAGAAAAACATCAATGTGCGGTTGCTGGGGGTCATGGCCTGCAACCCAGACATGTGCCCTGACTGGGAATCGAACCTGCGATACTTTGGTTCACAGTGTAACTTTGTTTTTTGATGACTTAAGTAACCCGGGACTATTCTTGTAATATCTGGGGAAGTTAAAATTACAGTCAACTCCACAGGGACAGAAAGGCATGGTGACTGCCAGGGCCAGGAGAGGAGGCATGTGGAAGTCGGAAGAGGCTGTTCAGCAGGCACAGCGTTTCAGGTTGGCAGAATGGGAAAGCTCTGGAGAGCACAGTGTGAGTATGCTTAATTAACACTGCTGAACTGTACACACACACGCACTCACCCTCCCGTAATGCCGCCATCAACACATCAATGCCTCCTCTCTAACCTTCACTCTCATTTAAACATACAGACATGCACATGGAGTTAGTGGAGAGAGGGTATAGATTTTTATCAGTGTCTCCAGAACAGCTGTCCCCATTCACAGTGTCACAAGGAAGGGGAGAACCCATCCCACCGCGCCCCCGCCACAAGCAGGGATCTGTCACCCTCCTGTCACTACAATGCGCTCTGGGTCGGTGATCTTCGTTTCCAACTGCCTGGTCATGTTCCACCCACTGTTCTTTCAGGATTTTAGTGGGGTTTTCCCAAGTGATGGACTCTTCTGGCTTTCTAAATTTTATATTATTTATCTATGCAAGTTTTCATTGTTCAATCATCCCTCTCTTCCTCTTGCATTGCCTTTATGCTTTGTAAGCCCTTCCTGGCCCACAGATTAGAAAAATATTCATTCAACTTGTTTTTTGGTTTAATTTTCAAATTCATTTAGAATTCAATCTGCTCTATATATGAATCAAGATTTCAAAGTTAGCCCTGACCAGTGGTGTACCTCAGTGGGATGGGCATTGTCCTGCAAAGGAAGGGGTCGCCAGTTCGAGTCCTGGTCAGAGCATCTGCCTGCGCTGGAGGCCAGGTCCCTGGTTGGGGACATGTGAGAGGCAACCAGTTGATGTTTCCCCTGCACACTGATGTTTCTCTCCCTCTTTTTCCTTCCCTTCCCCTCTCTCTAAAAATAAAATCTTTAAAACAATAAAAGTAAAATTTAAAAAGTGGTATCAAAGTCCCTTCCCCACCTCCTATCCAGGTAACTTAAGCCAGCTGCTGAAATGCAGGCATCGTTGGCATCTCGTTCCCCTCAGGAACAGCACACACTCTGAACTGAAAGGCTCCAGTTCCCGAGCCACCTCATGGAAGAAGACTCAGCAACAACTCCCCGAGATGTTCTACAGCCCCTCGGCATGTGGAGGCAGAAGCAGTGAGGACGTCAGGTGATGACTCTCCTTCCCCTTCCAACCTTCACAGCCACACAGGACAAGGAGCACCTCTCCCTCCCACTGCCCCTAACCCCGCCACCAACAGGAAGGTTTTCCACCTTGGAAAATGCCTGTAACAGGCTAAAGCATCTGTGAGCATAACTTCCCCTGTCCGTTATTTCCTTTTTTATAATATTTACATAGCTAAAGGAAAGTAATTAAAATTTTTAAACTGATATGACTATGGGTAACAGATTTAAGCCACCTTAAGGCTCTGCCAGACTTTTTACAAGTGTCCCGATGAGAATACCGAGGGTAAGAGCATACACTGCAATGTTATAAACAGCTGGAAAGAAAAGGTGTTTTCAATGCTGACAATAAATTGGAACATGAAAACCCAACTCAAGTTAGAATATTCATCTAAATAAACGCTTAAGTAAATATATCATTTACATTATTTACAAAATGTGTTTAAATATATTATTTAATATTTTTTTGGACAAAAAAGACAAGCTTCATGCAGAGAGTTGACAACAGTTGAAAGGTCTCACGTATTGGTCAAGAATGGGCAAGATGGCTTAGCAGCGGCCATTCAGAGCCCAGCACTGGACCATCACCAGTCCACTACAACGAGGGCTGCTGAGAACTTTCTCCTCATACAGCGGCCAGCACAGATTTCAAAGGCCAGCTTGCCAAATGTACTTTCCAAACGCACTACAAAACTTTGCTTAAGAACTCTTCAAATACACAAAGAATTCCTGACAAAACTACTTTCTGAAACACAGTAAAAACACAGGCAACACCACACGTGACAACACTGGAACACGCCCTCCACTACACGGTCATACCTCCATTTCTTCTGACTCGGCCTTACTTTCTGCTGGCATCTGCTGCGGCTGCTCTTCGACATGCGGTTCCTCTTGGTCCACTTGCATCTTCTGGAAAACAGGTCACAGTAGTTCACACTCGAGAACGACTAAGTGATCTCTGTGACACGCGGGCAAGATGACATGGTATCAAGTCCCCGCTGAGTGACCACCCCTCAGAAGACCGAGACTCCACTCCAGCCAGGACACACGTCACCTACAACACAGACTGCTCTGCTCCCAGCTCTCAGTGCTGCACCTGCCCACCGGAGGGAAGGCCAGGCCTGCTCTGCCCTCCTGTGCATGAGAGCAGCTGTGGAACTGTTCTACAAGCCACAAAGTGCTCAGCACACAGCAGGATAACATTCAACACAACACAATGGGAAGACAGCATGAGTTTCTCCAAGCTTCCTCGTGAGCTAATTTCTCTCAAAAGTCTTCACTTTTTCAAGAAGTTTTTTTTTTTCAAATCAGCCTTTTCATCCTCAAAAGTGCAACCACTGAACGTATTAGGTCAGGTGAACACCTTGAGAATTCCGTTACAAGATGAAAGATTAACCGTAATAAAAAAAAGGGAGAAATTTTGTGAAGGCCCCAACTAAGCATCTTTCAATGCCCACAGCACCCGAGAATGACTCGGGGGCTTTAAAACTACTGACCCTGGGCCCTGGCACACCCACGTGAGCTCAGACAAACCTCTGGGGACAAGACCCCACACCTGCAGCTCAATAAAACCTTGACTGTGATGCACAATAAGGATCAGACAATGCACAATTCCAACAAACGAATGTCAAATATATTCTACTTGAGAAGAGTAATGAACTGATGAGGCTCATGGCATTCTTCAATAATCAGAACAAATCAAGAACTCAAACTGACAAGGGCACAGGCTGAAGAAAGGAGCCGGTCAGTTACACTTTTTTTTTTTCTCTTTTCTTCTGTGCCACTGAGTGACAGCTGCCACTGGCACAGTCCCAGGACAAGGATGCACCCAAGGGTTTTTCTTTCAGCACCAGCTACCAAATCCTGGCCCCACTGCCCAGGGGAGGACCTGTGAAAGTGCTTTGACACTTCTGTATGAATTCTGTGCAGACTTGCTGCTAGTTCACCTCTGCTGGGCGAAGGGGACACACGCAGACCCACGCTCAGCAGCTCGGTCACAATGCCCCACCCCCCACCCCATCACTCAGTCTATTTGCTGGAACCTCTGGCCCATCATAAATGGTCAAAATGTCCAAATTACCTCTTCCTCCTTTGCATTCTGATCAGTTTCCATCGGCTCCTCATTTTCCTCAAACTTGTGCACTTCCACCAGGGATGCACTGGACACACTGAAAATGCCATGGACATTGACTCGAACCTTGACTTTGACTTTTGAGCTAGAGCCATCGGACTGAGGAGTGACTTTCTGAACGGAAAACTGAGCTGTGGACATACAAGCCAAAGGAGAACAGACAGTGTGAAGAGGAATTCACAAACAGGAACGTGCACCCCCAAGGCCAGGTTGTATCCACTTCTCAGGAACAGGACATCTCAGAGAAACGAAGTGGGTGCTCAGAGTTGCACCATATCGCCGTATTTCCTTCTCTTTAGAGTACAGTCCAACTGTTCCCTTGTCCCAATCCAGGACTCAAACATCTCTAAGCCCTCCAAACATTTCTCTGCTTCCAGCCCCTATTCCAACCCATCTTTTCATGCTACTGCCAGACAAATTCGGAGAACAATTCTGTCACATTGTCCTCTACTAAAAAACCCCTGGTGATTCCAAAGAGCTTCTGTGGTTTATCAAGAACTTGTCGTTTCTAGATTAAGTTACCAAACCAACATTTTGCTTATGTTCTTTAATTCACAACTCTGCAAAGTATGAATTATCATCTTTATTTATTTTACAAATGAGAAAAATAGTAGGTTAGCTTTCCACAGCCTCCAAGAGCCATTCAGGACAGTCTTAACCCTTCACCCATGTATAGGTCTGTAATTATCATGTAATTCATAGTTTCTCTCCTCAACTACTCCCAGATTATGAATTTCTAGAAGTCTATGAAGACTAGACAATATGGCCGGTGATACAGGTCTCTCAATTTCCTAGTAACTTTCTAGGCTCATCTCTTAACTCCATGTCAGGGTCAAAACTGAGTTTCTTCAGCTCCTTTCAGCATCAAGACCACATCACGCACAAGGTACAATGATAACGCACATCAACCAGGAACATGCTCCCACGGTAGGAGATCCAACCAAAGAAGGGCCACTTACTGGTTCCGACCCTGGCAGAAAGGTTACAGAGGGCATTTTGTGATCTGAAATACCCAAATTTCAGAACTGTGCTTGCTCTGCACTTCCCAGCCCGAGAGAGAGAGAGAGAGGGAGGGAGGGAGGGAGAATTTGGTCCCCAACCCATCGCTCACCTATAGCAGGGTCTGGATAGGGCAGATCCTGAGGACAGCTGTAATAGGCCTCAAGAGTGAAAGGCTCCTTTCTATAAAACGTGAGTACTTTAGAGAATGGAGCAGAGTGATTTTTTGAAAAGACTTCACAGTCACTGAATGGAGAAAAAATACAAAAACAACTTTAGGATATTCCTAACACTTGTGCCCATGTTCTCTAGTTTTGTAATTATTGTATACTTTTATTCTTCTCAACTGGCCTCATTTCTAGCCCCTATTCTATTTATGAACACCACCTCCAATATCCATTTTAAAACAAAAGTTTCAGAGAACAAACAAGTTTCAAAAAACAAAAAATACACACACATTATGTGTGTCAGTTTTTCAAAGAGGAATATACTTTCTTTAATCAGCACAAAAAGGCACCAATTATTTCAGCATGATCAAATATAAAAAACTAAATAAAGACATATGTATTCTGATGACTAAAATATGTAATTGCTTTGATTCACACACTGTAACAAAATGTTACAGATCTGGAGAAGTTGAAATGGAATGTATTATTTTACTTAGACTTAACACTGAATTCAACTTTAAGCACAAAAATAATTAATAAATGCTATTACCTTGACCCTTCTTCAGCTGGAGAATTCCATCTCAGAGATATTGGATATGGTACTACGTCAGTGATAGAAAATTCTCTGACTTTGAAAGCAGGCGATAAGATTGCACACTAGAATAATAATTTTTTAAAATTTCCATTTGACAAATATAAACATTATGAACTAATATCACAAGATATTAAAAAGACCAGAAAACCATCAATGGTTCTTAAATATTTACATTAATAATTTAATAGAGTCTGAATAAGCAGTTTTATAAACTTCTATCACTTGTCAGATTACCAGTAGTCTAGCTCTTTCTTACCGTTTTTCCATTAACATCATTTATTTAATCGATGTACAATGCTGCTTCATATGTAGTAACAATAGATAACATGCCAAGCCCAACAGTATTCCAGGCTTACTATGTTTCTAGTAAGTTGATACATCTTCTTACATGTTATAGAGTTCTACTCTTTCCATGCTACAGAGTTCTAGTCTACTTATGACCACCACCCCTGATGCCCATTGTAAAACACAAGTTTCAGACTCTTCCACCCCGAGGTCACCCCACGCTACCCTCAGGTTATTGGTTGGAGAGAGAAAACCACTGCTGAACTGCTACCATGCCCTGGAGGCAGCCTCCGAAGGAAGCAGGGAGACCCACCTGCAGCGCACAGCCTCGAGTGACGGCTTCGTCAGCATTCAGAGTTGTGCTGAGCTCTTTACCGAAGAATTTGCTGATCTTCTCTTTTACCGCAGGGATTCGAGTCGCACCGCCAACTATCTCCACTGCATAAATATCTTCTTTCTTTAACTCTGTTTTAAAGCAATTAGACGTTTAGATTTAAAGAATCTTTAAGTTAGTTATTTTACAGTGAAATAAAAAGTGAGACAGCATCTTATCACGACAAAACTCAAGACGTATAACAAAACCCGCCACTCCTTCACCCCCTCCACAAGAGCCGGCACACAATGCGTGCTCACGCACAGGTGCACAGCACCTGGAAACATGTGGGTGTTTTGATCTCAAAAATACGGGGGCAGGGCGGCACAGAAATAGTGGGATTTAGGAGCTGAGAGCCAGGAATACTCAATACCCTACAATCACTGAAAGAGTGCCCCACAGAGATGTGTTACAACATGAATAGTTAAGCTAGCCGTAAGGACGATTAATGCAGCCTTGAAATACTGGATCGCCCCTGATGCGACATGGGGGAGAAAAAGAGGTGCTGAGACCCACATCCAGCCACTGCAGCATTCCACCCAGAGTACACACACAGTCCAATCACAGCACACGTACAACCCCCTCACCAAGGCTCTGCTGTCACCCACGCAGCAACTCTGAACACCACCTGAGTTTCTGGACACAGTTCATGTAACAAACACTGACGACTGTTGAGAAGGGCTATACAGAACAGCAGGCGGACACAGCGTGGGAGACCACGCCCACCTGCCATAGGTGACTACGGAGCCAAACCTGCCAGCCGACAGTACTTTTCAGCCCTTGGAAACAGCTGGCAGCCAAGACAACGGTGGGCTCTACGTGAAAGTCTGTCATTCAATTTGGGAAAATTAGTAATCTATTCCTAAAGCACACTTCCACCTTTTAGCCCAAGATAAAAAAGCACCCTGTGGAAGTAAATATGTGGCCATCACACCCTCCCTCTGCTGTGTCTTCGGCAAACGAAGACTGACAGAAGAGCCCCGAGGCTGCCGCGGCAGCACCGCAGAGACAGTTGTTTGTTACCAACAAGGAAGAACTGAAGGGTTTACAGCCAGCTCCAAGTCTGAGGCAGGTTTCCTGGGGAACAGTTAGACTTCCCTGGACACTATTATCAAAAGGCTGCTTGGGGGAAATGGGAGTTCCAGAGGAAACATATAAAGAAGCCTAATACAGCACTAAAGTCATCTACACAATGAAAATTTGTGTAGCTGAAAAAAGTAGCAAAGAATATTTGCAAAGAGTGGGAGACATACAAATAATTCAATCACAAGAACACTTACTGGCTTGTTCCAAAACGCTACGAAGCGGCGGCTCCACTCTGGCTAAGAGATCATCGCACATCTCCAGAAATTTGCCTCTATAAAGTGAACAACAGGTCAAATCACACACTCCACTTACGAGGAATAGACAGACAGCTATGAACAAGAAGACATAACAACAAGCATTGGCAAAGAGTAGAGAAACTGGATCCCTCACACATTTCTGGTAGGAATATAAAGTGATACACCCACTTTGGAAAACAGTTTGGTAGTTCTTCAAAATGTTAAACATAGGATTCCCTATGACCCAGTAATTCTACTCTGAGTATATAATAAAATAAATTAAAAACATATGACCACACAAAAATTTGCACATGAATGTATGTTCATAGTAGCATTATTCATAAACAGCCAAAAAAGTAAGTATATCAAGTGTACTCACAGCAAGAGAAAGAAATGAATACAAGAAAAGGGACTAACACATGTCAGAACACGGATGAACTTGGCAAACACTGGACTAGGTAAAAGAAGCCAATCAAAAAAACCCACATTATATGACTCCATTTACACGAAAAGTTCAGGACAGATAAATTCAGAAAGAGAGTAGATTTATGGCTACCTAAGGCTAGGGGGAGAAAGAAGAGATGGAGAAAGAAGAGATGAAGAAAGACAGCTAATGGCTACAGTTCTTTTTTTTCTTTTCCTTTGTTTTTTAATTTAAAATATTTTATTTTGTAGATCAGTTTTAGGTTTACAGGGAAATAAACTAGAAGTATAGAGCATTCCCATATGCCCCTCGACCCCTCGCAGTTCCCCTACTGACACCCTGCATGAGTGTGACCCACCGCTACCAACTAGCGAGCTAATACTGCTGTGTGACGGTGCGCCTTAGGGTTCTACGGGTTTTGACAAGAGTATAATAATAAGCACCCACCATTACAGTATCATACAGAGTAACACCACTGTCCTAAAAATTAGGAGAGCTCCATTCATTCATCTGCCCCCCGCCAGAACCCTTGCCAATCACCCACACCTTTCTCCTGTCTCCAGTCTTGACTTTTCCAGAAAGTCATATAGTTGAACCATACAGGATTTATTTAGCCTTTTCAAATTGGCTTCTTCTACTTAGAAATATGCATTTAAGGTTCCTGCCTGTCTGTTCAAGGCTTTATAGCTCATTTAGGAGTTCTTTATGAGGCAGTTAATATATTCTAAAACTGGGCCATGGTGATGGCTGCACAGTTCTGTGCATACACTAAAACCCACTAAAATAATACATTTTAAAAGAGTTACTTTTAAACTCTTTTACACCTCAACAAAAAAAATTATAGAGATGTAGAAAATACCCATCAGAATGGCAGAAATTCAGGACCACTAATACAGTATCAGTGAGGATGTGCAGCCAACACAAACTCCTATGCACTGGCAGTCATTTAAATGACAGTTGTATTACTAACAGCAAGCGATTCCTCATAAAGCTAAGCACAGAATTACCAGAGGACTCAGCAACTCCACTCCTAAGTGTATACCCAGGAGAACTGAAAGCAAAATAGTCAAATACTTGTTCGTGCCTCATTCACAACAGACAAAAGGTGAAACCACCACCAGTGCCCATTACTGGTCAATGGAGAAACGGAAGAGCATCATAAAAAGCTGCCATAAAAAGCGATGAAGTGCTGGCCCGTGCTACAGGGAACTTAGAAAACATTATGTTAAGTGAAATAAGCTGGACACAAAAAGAAGCCAACACAAACGGGGAGGGGGGCAAAAAGTAGGTTTACAGGTGAGTACGCAAAACACAGAGCTCGTTACTGCATTATTATTATCATTTTCCACACAAACAGCTATAAACCTACTTTTGCCCACCTCTGCCTTGCATGACTCCAAGTATGTGAAATGTCCAGAAGAGGAAAACCCAGAGATAAAAGCAGACTGGCGTGGCCAGGGGCAGCAGTAAGAGAAATGGGAAATGACTCCTTACTGGGTACAAGGATTTCTTTGGAAGTAGTGCAAACGGTTTGTCACTAGGCTGGCACAACACCACAGATGAACTGAATGACACTAAGTTGTGCACTCTAAAGTGGTGTAAGAATTTCACCTCACTTTTTAAAAAAAGTTAATTAGAAGAAATACTGTAATATCAGAAATAAATCATCTGGTTTCATTAGTTAAAAAGACAACAAGACCACCGGTGAGCATTAACGGCGATGAGAAGGCTCCAGGGCAGGGTGGTGGGGGCAAGCTGGGGGAGGAATGGCTGTGCCTGGACCCGGACCCTGACCACGCAGCAGGTGCAGTACAACTACTTTTCTTCTCCAGCGGCGCACAAGCTACTTAGTGGTTTCCAACTTTTAAAAGTGTAACAAATATCTGCTTAGCTCTCATAGTTACATAACAGTCCACTTACAATTTCTGAAACACAGTATGGCCCCCACACTCCAGCCCCACTCCCAACACACACAAAACTGGTACTTGATAAAAATGAAAACAATCACGTTCAAGCACAGGGGAAAAGCAACTACAAATCTGTTTACTAGGCACAATAATCTAACTCTAGCACATCAGGGGCAATTTAAATCCCACCTCAATTTTTTAAGGCCCCATTTCCCCAAATAAGTGTCAGTCTTGCCTGAACTCTCCAATACAGTCCGCATCCTAGAGAACGTCTCAGTCTTGCTACCCAAGCAACCCAACAGTCCCATTCCCGAGGACAGTCCTGAAACCCAGTCACCCGGAATTCCTGTCGCACTATACAAGAAGAGCTGCTGTCCCAAGTGACCCTGAACTGTCCCAAAACACCAATTTCAGAATCGATGATTAAATCAAATACAACACAATTCTGCATTACAGCACTCTGCCTTGATTTTATGAAAACTGGTAATCATGTATAATTCATGCACGTGTAAAGAACTACTTCCTGCAATATTCCATTACTCAGAACTATTAGAATAACTAAACCCAACCTTCACATACAAAGCAGGATCCTGAATGACCCCTAATTTTTACCTATAGAACTGAAGTGATACAATAACCATGATGATTTCAACAATTAGCTAATTAAGGCTAACAAAAGTGGAGAAAAATTACAGTTCAGCATAACGTCAAAATATTAATATCGTTACCTATTCATAGTTCCTGACACGTCGACATCATTCATAAAACACTCAATGCTCAAAGGGAGGTCAGACGCATTTGCGCTCATCAATTTCTTGAGCTTCTCACACTCCTGAGACAGTCGCAACAATGCACGGATTTTGGACTTTATGTCTAGCTTGTACTTCTTTCCGAATTCTTCACAGAAGTGATTTACTAACACCTCATCAAATTTCCTGCCTCCCAGAGTTGTATCAAATGCAGTGGCGAGAACCTTGGAATAAAGATGATAATTAATTCAAAAATAAGGCAATTTTAAATGTTATGATATGAATTTAATAGGTAAACTGTATTAACGGGGAACGTTAAGGCTAAAACAGGGCTATGAGCACGTGTCACTTAGTCACTGTTACACGCACTATGACAAGAGACACTGTAACCCCCGGTTCACAGACGATGCTACAAACCCAGAAAGACCAGATAACCTGCAGGCCACACAGGTAACAAGTGGTGGACGTGGACTTCAAAACACAATCTCATTATTTTCAATGCCCACACCCCTCCACTATACCAACAGCAATTACATAACCCAGGACTGAATCACTAACATGCCACGTACACAGTTCTAGTCCTCTTGCTATCACAAAACTGAGAACGCCAAAGGCTTAGTTCTGTACAGTTTACCACCCAAAAGGATGCTAGAGCCCTAATTGCCAGCAATTTGTTTCTACTGAACACAGAAGTCTCATTAGCTTGGGTGGGTTACCCATTCCCCAGATCCATAGCAGATTAGAAGGGAATGAGATCTAACAACACTCAGTAATTTACAAGATGGGTTAAGTAAGCGATGACATCCTTATGAGGGAATAAACAGTCTCTTCGAAGAATGTTAAACATCATGGGAAAATTTCCTACATCTGTTAATGACAAGAAAGAAAAACAAGACACAGAACTGAAATAGTGTGATTCCAATTTTGTCTTAGAGTGAAACACACTAAACTGTTAAGACTTTTGAGTATTTTTTTTATTTAAATTTGTTTAAATCCTCCCTGGAGGATATGTTTGACTTTAGAGAGACAGGGAAAGAGAGAAACGTCGACTGGCTGCCGCCCACACATACCCCCACAGGGGTCGAACCCACAACCTTGCCGTGTACAGGATGAGGTTCCAACAGCTGAGTCACACAGCCAGAACTTGAGTGTTTTTTTTCTTTACACATAAATGTTTTCCAGATTTGGAGAAGCTTTTACAGTAAGTATTTTTATAACTAAACTTTAATTGTAATTGGAAAAGTGACGAGTGACACAGAGCAGTGAAAGACAATATGGGAAAAAGAGCAGATGACCACTAACACACATCACTTTGTCCCAAAGCCGAAGCTAAATATAACCATTATCTTCTGTTTAAAATGTTGAAGTATAGAATTTTAGAAATAATTCTACTAGTAATCCAAGTAAAGTTTAAACACCGATAATTACAATTTGATTCGGCATTTGTATCCATTAAAATCGCCGACTTCTTATTTCCCAACTATCCCAAAGATTTGCTTTAATTTTATTTAAAAAAAAAAAAAAAACAAAAAACAACCCCAGCCCTGACTGGTGTGGCTCAGTAGGTTGGGCTTTGTCCCACAAGCCAAAGGTCACTTGTTGGATTCCTGGCCAGGGCACATGCCCGGGTTGTGGGGCAGGTTCCCCAGTGTGGGGCGTGCAAGAGGCAACCAAACATCGATGTTTCTCTCCCTCTCTTTCTCCCTCCCTTCTACTCTATGTAAAAATAAATATTTTTTTAAAAAAAGATTTTATATCCACCTGGCTGGCGTAGCTCAGTGGATTGAGCGTGGGCTGCGAACCAAAGTGTCACAGGTTCGATTCCCAGTCAGGGTACATACCTGAGTTGCAGGCCATGATCCCTAGCAACCACACATTGATGTTTCTCTCTCTCTCTCTCTCTCTATCTCCCTCCCTTCCCTCTCTAAAAATAAAAATTAAAAAAAAAAGATTTTATATCCCACTGCGGAACTAACATAGGTAGCAGTAAATTTAATTGTGATCGTAATCATCTTCTGGCCCTTCCTCATCTTTAACACTGCTAGATTTCTCTGTATACAAAACTGTCTTTTCCAGAGGTCTATGCTTCCCAGAAATCTACAGTATCACTCCCAGTCTGGTTTCTTTGAGCCACCAAGTTCTAGTCCCTCCACCCTTTTCCCAGACCATGCAAAACCTTAAGAGCAAATAGAGAATACCTTCATCATAATCTCCTCAATCCTCAGTGTAAAACACCAAGGGACTACATACTAGAGAATCCTCCTAATAAGCCTGCAAGTAAGCCTTATTTTCTCTCATTACAGATAAGAAAAATAAGGCTCAGCAATTGCAGGTGCTTTTTCCTCACACCATGCCAGCTCTTAATTACTCCAGGCTCGCAACTCCCACCCCGCCCCATATCCCTAGCTTCTAGTTCACATGGCTCACAGCGAGTTTTCATCAGTGTAACAACATCCTTTAACCATGTATCTAAATTGTCTCTCACAAGTTCCTAATTACCATACACTTACAGTCTCCCAGAAAAAAAAAATACTTACTTTAAGCTTTCCTCTATTAAATGCACATACAGAAACTTGATAAGAAGAATGCCCCATGTCTACAAAAACTACATTTCTTGGTTTCTCTTCTAATGCAGGGAGATCTTGCTTATAGATTCCATACGCAAGAGCAACTACATAAGAAAAAAATAAATAAATTCAACATATTATTGTCTAAGAGTAAACTTAAAATTTAAGTAGAAACATCTTGTATATATTGAATGGAGCTGCATCATATGCCGTTCTACAAAGAAATCCTTTACAAGCTTTACGCAGTAATTCATGAAAAACATTAACATTCCCATGACTTTGGCAACTGTTACCAAACCCCTTCCCCACTTCCCCTGACATATCCTGTTGGATTTCTTCTACCCTTGTGCCCCCTCAACCTTCCCACACTATCCTGTCCCTGAGAAGCGGCTTCCCGTTCCTCCGACTCCGCCAGTCCAACCGTCGCAGAACAGGCCAACATTTAAGTCCAAGCACTGCTACGATCAAACAACGAATGTATCCCTTTCCAAACAACCCCGTGATTAAATACCCAGTGGGTGCTACAAAGATACAGAAAAAGTACTGGTCAGATGAATTCTTTGTAAGTGACAGTCACCAAAAATACTGTGACACATAGGTGGTAAGTGCTCCAAGCCAAATAAACAAGAAAGCCTAGGATTTTAAGGTTCCACAACCTTCATGATTAACGCATCAAAACTTCAGTTAAGGCCCCTCTTACCTGCAGTCGTGTCATTCATCAATCGCAGGCAGTTGAGACCAGCGATCTGTGTTGCATCCATCACCGACCGTCTTTCTGCGTCAGTATAGAAACCAGGAACCTACAAAAGAATTGAAGGTTTACTGTATTATGGAGATCCCTCATTTAAGATGCACCTGCCAGGGATAAATAAATGAAGTCCGGAAACGCCCTCAAACCCCTACAGCAATGTATGCCGCACGTGATTGAGGGAGCACTTCAGACCCGTGAGGACAAGGGAGGACACGCAAGTAATACTGGGAAAAATGGACAGACAGCCACACAGAAAATAAAGCTGCATCCCTACTGCAAGCCTTATACCAAAATATAGGTCAAATCAAAGACTTAAATGTTAAAAAAATAAAATAAAAATCAAGAGCACCAGAATTAAAGGAATTTACCCTGAGTAGGAAAGGATTTTCTAAATATAACACAAAACCTACAAGAAAAAAAATTTTGACTCATAAAAAATTCTAATGACCAAATGGGAAAAATATTTGCAGCTCATATCATAAAAGTGCAAAGAACTAATCTAATACATGAAGAACTACAGATCAAAATGAAAATCATAAACTCAAAATGAGCAAAGAACAGGAACATTTCACAAAGAGGGCAATACAAAATGGCTTTTCAATTTTGAAATGTTCATCTCCACCCAAAGAGTAAAATATTAAAATCACATACACTTTGATACCATCCATTATTCACCTAATTAGAATTAGTTAAGACACCAATGAACTGTGCTAGTGAGGCCGTGGTCAGATAAGCCCGCTCTACATTTCAAGTGGATGTGTGAACTAGCACAAATTCTTTGAAGGACAATAGCTGTTAAAATTACAAATACAGCCCTGACTGGTGTGGCTCAGTTGGTCACCATCCTACAATGCAAAAAGTGGTTCACTGGTTCAATTCCCAGTCAGGGCACATGCCTGGGATGTGGGCCTGGTCCTCAATTAGGGAGCATACAAGAGGCAACCAATCGATGTGCTCACACACTGATGTTTCCTCTCCGCCCCTTTCTCCCTCTCTTCCCCTCTAAAAATAAGATCCTTTTTTGGAATTACAAATACAAGTGGGTATGTTCCAAGAGCTCCCATGGATACCTAAAGCTAAGGATAGTATTAAACTCTAATATACTATATTTTTTCTATACATATGTACCTCTAATATACTGTATTTTTTCTATACATACATACCTGTGATAAAGTGTATAAACTAGGTACAGTAAGAGATTAACAGCACCTAATAATAAAATACAACAATCACACAATATACTATAATAGTTAAGTGAATATGGTCTCTCTCCAAAATATCTTTTTTATAAAAAGGGAAATAATGCCTTTTTAAAAAGATTTTATTTATTTATTTTTAGAGAGTGAAGGAAGGGAGCAAGAGAGGGAGAGAAACATCAATGTGTGGTCGCTGTACTGCCTACTGGGGACCTGGCCCACAACCCAGGCATGGGCCCTGACTGGGAATCAAACCAGCAACCTTTCGGTTTGCAGAATGATGTTCAATCCACTAAGCCACACAAATCAGGGCTCTCTGAAAGTATCTTACAGTACTGTACACGTATCATGAATACACTAGACAAAGGGATGATTCACAATCCAGGCAGGACAGAGACAGCAAAGCAGGACTCGCAACAGCATGCAACTTATATAACTTCAAAATCATTTATTTCTGGAACTTTCCATTTAACATATCCCTGCATGTTAACTGAAAGCCATGGAAAGCGAAACCGCAAATAAAGGGGAGACTATTGCACACACACCTTTTGTCCCAGCAACTGCACTTCTAAAAATTTAGCCTATAAATCCCACAAACTTACAAGAGTGAAATAGTATTTGTTCAGGTTTACTCATTGCAGCATTCTTCACAATAAAAAAAGCAACAGATGTCTAACAAAGAGAGGCCGGTTAAGTACGTACCACATAAATTGGAGTACCCCACAGCCACTGAAAGGAATGAGGCACTTCCTTACTGCTATAGACCAAGTAGAAGACAAACTGTCCAAAATTTGTTAACAGAAAGATCAAAGTAAAAAGGACCTGCCCATATGTGCTCCAGTGCATAACCCCCGGGAAGGTGTATAACAGAGCGGTGGCAATGGTAACCCCGGAAGGAAAACCTCTGTGCTAGGCAGTGAGGTGCTGAAGCTTCCCTTACACCCTCCTTTCTACACAACTGAATTTTGAACAGTGGTTATTATTGCCTTTCTAAAGCAAAATTAAGTTTATGTTTAACAATAATCAATTTCTGTGTGAAGCAAACACACCCGGGCTCTATTTCCACAGCAGTCAGACGGGCCATCAGCACCAGGAGCCATAGGTGCTGGTCTAATCCTCAGACAAGTCTAATGACCAGAACGGTTTCCTAACTTAGTAAGAAATTTCCCCTAATGTTGAGAGCGGCTTGCTGTGCCTGCATTGTTTCTACAACTTAGCCTATGCGGAATACCTACTTTCCTTCCAGAAGTCTGTAGTTTTGGTGTGTGCTAGGCAAAGGGTACCTACATAACTAAACCCCAGGAGAAACCCTGGACTCTCAGGCTACAAACAGAACAGAACTTCCCTGGTGCACGACATTTTCACGTACGTCATCACAACTTGTGGCTGGGAGTATTAAGCACAGCCAGCTTGACTTCATTAAAGGAGACTCCTGGAGGCTTGCGCCCCGTTTCCTCCCAACACTGCCCACATGCCCTTCCCTTGTTGACTTTGCTTTGTGTCCTTTCGCCGTCATCAACCTTGGCCGTCAGCACAGCTACATGCCAAGTCCTAAGAATCCTCCTAGCAAACCACCAGAACTGAGAGTGGTCTTGAGGACCCCCAACATGTGACTTAACACACCACCTTCAAACTTGTTCAAAAGCTGACAAAGCCACTTAGGCAGTCCATCCTTTTACATAAACTTTACTTCTACAATGAGCATAATTAGGATTGATGTCAAAGGCACCAGATGGGGGAGTAAGGACCAATGACAGACCAACGGAGGGCACAGGAAAGACAGAAGCATCTACAAAACAGTGTCTGTATGGAATAGTGTCTGTACAGAAGTAGCATCTTTACTCTCTGCACCCCCAGACTGTGGTCCAACAGCCACAATCCAGTCCCTCCTGACAAACGTCGGCCCTCCTTTGCTAGATGGGCAAGAACTAAGGAGCGGGCCAGACAACAGACTGTGGGGCAAAGAAGCCACCAAACAGTCCCTGTTTTGCCAACCATTGCACCAAAACAAGAGACCACAGAGACAAAATGTAAGACAGCTGCAGAATGACGAGGTTCGGTGACAAAGCCAACAGGGCTGCCCAAGTTCCAACAGCTGCGAGGGACTCCCTCACACCACAAGCACAAAGCTACCAACAGCCAGGCTTCCACCTGGTGAGGGGTATGGACAAGATAAAGTCGCGCCCTGCCTTGCCTTCAGTGCCAGAAACAGTGACAGCAAAGACACAAAGACAGAAATGGAGGAAGAGTGCGTTCCTTATTGCGAGTAGTCACCTAATTTAACAAAGGAGTGGCTACCAGAGACCAGCCGCAGGACTAGAAGAAATCCAGGAAGAAGTGGGCCTTGAGGTGGGCCTTTGAACAGGAAGAAAAACAGAGGCCTGAGCAAAATCTAGGGGCCAGAAAATAAAATTCAAGAAAATGAAGACTAGTTTGATAATAATCATACAATCTAAAGCAAAAACAGAGTAATTTGCAGTTAAAATGCAAATGCTTCCTCACATAACCCCAGTAGTGAGCGGGGCCCGCACTCACCGAGACCACACAGTCCACAACAGGCTTTTTGAGGACGCTCTCTGCTGTCTCCTTCAGTTTGGACAGGAGCATAGCAGTCACCTGCTCCGTGGTAAAACTCCGCTCTTCCTCCATGTATCTCACCTGCAATAAAGTAACAAAAGGTTCTTGGCTTACAGTTGTTCATGTCCTAAGTCTAAAATCCTCACATCATCAATGGAACACTACATCAAGAAGGACAAGAAGAAAGCTGGTTTTGAAAGCAAAAGTAACATGAAGGTCACTTTTAGCTTTACAACACGCACCTGATAGTGGAAGATAAGGACCGCTGTGTAAACAGTGCCATGACCACCAGGAACCCTGAAACAACCTACCCGCGCAGACGCGCACTGATGGAGCTCACCGTGAGCCACTTCACCCCTCTGTTAAGGGGGCTGGTGGTGAAACTATTTTAGCGCCTGACACAGACTATTTGTGTTTTACTTTGTTTACTGTGCTGACTGTGTTATCATCATCCCAGTTAAGATCCAGTCTAACCTGAGGGCATGGTCTTAGTTGGGACTCATTCACTGCTGTAGCCCCCGCACCTGACAGACCTGACAGCACAAATACTTGGTGGATTAAAGAATAAAGAACAAAGCTTCGAACTATCCTGCCCTGGATAAAAGTCTTCAAGTTTGACAAGAGCTGCCAACTTTAAATGCTGAAAGGTTACTACCTAAGATAAGCCCCATTCCACATACACCCAGCCCCCAACAACAATCCAGACCAGAAAATGTCACTCTCTCCTTTTATGTACTGCTCTGGCTCAGCCTAAAAGCTACTGGCTCCTCACCTCCTCACTCCCCAGCCCAATCACAATGCGTTCTGGTTCACAGTCTAACAGTTTCTCATTTTACTGCATGATAAAAATGGGAAAATACCCTCTCAATGAGTCTCTTTCTAAGCTACACCCACATCCCTACTATTTGTCTAATCTTCAACCCCTCTACCCTTGTACTTGGCTACACTTAACGCCCAGGTCTTCTCCCTGGTCTCTCGCTCCTTTTCTTGCAATGCTTAGGACTAAATCAGCCGATGTCTGTCCTATTTCTTTCTCAACTACGAGGGTCACCCCTCATTTCCTCAGCTCCCCTTTCCTTCTTCCCTCCTCTGCACTGCAGCTTTACCCCGCACTAGGTCATTCACACTGTTCTGACACTACTGCCACAGGTGTCCTCAGTAAGTAAGCCCAGAGATCATTCTTCAGTTATCAGAATTCTTCACTTCTAAACTCAACCAAATCCTGGGCTACAATGTACAACTGATTACCTTTTTCTCCCAATTTCCATCATCTCTTAGATCTGAGCCAGTTACCATAGTCTTATTTCTCCAGTCAGAATGTCTAAAACACCAAATCTACTCTCTCTAAACTCACCTGCCTGGAAAGTTCAACCACCCTCCTGGATTTTCAGCACCTCTGCAGGCTAGAGAGGCAGTGGCATGCACCTGCCCATTCCTGGGCCTCTCACCTCTTTTGTCTGATCCGTTCACTGCGTGCTTCACAAATAGACTCTTCTAGGTGTCCCAGAGATATCAAAGACTCAGCTCCCCTTTTCTCCCCTTCAAGAGTGTAACTACCTATCTGCCTAGTGACCTAAAAGCACTGATTTCTTTGCCTGACTTCTACAAGTCACACCCTAAAATCACACAGCAAACAAGACAAGCAGCAATGGCAGCATTAGCTTCATCACTACTCATCCATCCAAGCCATATTAACAATGCTACCTATGGTTCTCGATCAAAATCCAAATCACTAAAAAAAAATGCCAAATGGACTTTACTAGCAAGAGCTTTTCCTAAGCATTTATAAGCATTTTCATTCCAACAGGAAATCAGAACTGTATTGATATACACTGGTCCAATAAAAATAAAATGCTGTTTTGATCATAAGGCATTATCTCGAGAACCTTACCTTTATACCTGTTAATCCAGTAGGTAACTGCACGATATCATATGCAAGGCCAGACCTTTCTGCCTCCACAAACGGGTCAGAGAATGCTCGGCCATGGAATCTTTTGAACCCCTGGACTGTGTTCTTCGCATTGGAAATGATCTACGAGAAAGGATATCAGAGTCAGAGTAGAAAGACTGACAGCAATTAAAAGAGGGGGAAAAAATTAAACAGCACCCAATTGAATTAGCATCATTTTAATGCCACAAAGTTTCCTCCTGAGTTCCAGTTTCCTTCCACACTAAGCCTTTCGGAGTGACACCTGCGAGCAGCACGTGAGGCGAGGCTCAAGGGGTGATGGCCTCGAACAGGTAACGGAGACCACAGCCCCGTGTGTCCTGCTTCTCCACAGACAAGTCGTGATACCTGTAAGAGTATTTTCTGTCTTAAACTTCTCATAAACATTTAGATATAATTCTTAGCCTTTAAAAATTCCCATAGTTTGTGATTCAATCTTCCCAGGCGTCAGTTTGGAAGTTTGTGTCAATTCACAAACTCCAGTCAAAGAAACCTACCATAAAGGACAAACAGATGGCACCACACACACGAAGATGAGCACAAAACGATACTGAGAGTACTGTTCGCAATGCCAGGAAACTGGAGACGGCCTGAGTGTGCACAGGTAAACTCAGCAAGGTGCAGCCACATGGGGCGAGATTATTTTAGGAGCCTGAAAGATGAGTACCTATACAGTATGACCTCACTTTTGTAGAAGAGGAAATATTTATATGCTTAGAAAGAGTACAATAGGTTAACATTAAGATTCAAAATCATTTTTGTATAATGGTAGTACAATAAAACTTCCAAAGTCCCTATCATATTATATCTGTATTTTTTAATTTCTTTCAATAAAGTATTATAATTTATGGAAAAAACAGTGGCAAAGACATTCAAAAAAAATTCCAGAATAAACTTGTTTTAAGATTCACAGGCTCCTCCTCCTGGTGCAGGGGTGCAGTGTGCCAAGCCCCGAGGAAAAGCTGCAGAGCTCCTCTCCACCAGGCATGTCAAAGGCACACAGAGAAGCCTTTTGAAAACAGCGAGGCCTCCCCAGCCGGGCCCTGCTTCAGCAAGCAGCCAAGAAGAAACTCAGTAGCACAATGACCATGTCAACCTAGACTCAGCAGCCAGTGCAGTACAGTAACTATTCTCAACGATGACAGCAAATTTAAAACCAGGAAGAATTCACTGAAATTCCAGAAGGAAAGGCGTTTCAATATAGCTGTGTACTTGCTATCTACCGCCTCCTAGATTGTAAAACACCCAGTTTTATTAATAATCAACTGGCCAAGCATCACTTTCTTGGGCTTATGAATTTTAGGCCCTTCCCAGTCCAGAAAAAGAGACAAATATTCATTCTATACTTTGTTCCAGATTGAACCATAAAAAGGTCAAGCATGCAACTCCTTAATTTCACAGTAACCTCAGACACTCAGAATAACAGAACTCTTGGGATTCTGCTGTTTGGTTACTCAGAAACCAGCAGATATGTCAGACTCCTGGTTTGCAGAGTAAACTAACGATAAGTTAATGTGCTTCTAGTGTTTTCCTTCCTTGAGAACCTTGATTGACAACATCAAATCTAGATACAACACTGACCTTCAATATTAGTAAACAGAAAAGCCCATGCCTTGGCTGGTGTGGCTCAGTGGACTGAGCGCCTGCCTTCACACCAAAAGGCTGCCGGTTCCATTCCCAGTCAGGGCACATGCCCAGTCAGGGTTGCAGGCCAGGTCCCTGGTGGGAGGCACCCAAGAGGCAACCACACATTGATGTTTTTCTCTCCCTCTTTCTCCTTCCCTTCCCCTCTCTAAAAATAAGTAAATAAAACCTTAAAAAAAAAAAAAAAAGAAAGAAAGAAAGAAAGCCCTAAGAGAAGTCTTTAGGGGCATTTAAAATATGTACATCCTAGTAGTTTGTATTAAACAGATTATACCATTCACGCTTTTCACACAACCACCATGAGCAGGGATGAGGTCTGTCTCTCAGCTACATGGCCAAGGCCTACCAGTGCTGGGCACACAAGGGGCACTCAAACAGTTGAACAGAGGTTGGACAAACTGGAAAAATAGGTCGTTTTAGGGAAAAACAAAACCACCTACCTGGCTTTTAGCTGCTGCTCCAATTGAACGATTCTTAGGACCAAAAGAAATGCAGGCCCTAGAAAATATAACAAACATTTTAGAATATAACCTTATTCCAACTTTATACCCCAAACCACACCAGGCAAGATTTCTCAGTCTTCACAAAAAAGCCATGTATTTTAGCAACACAAAGTCAGTCTCTAATTTTAACCTTTACGTTGAGTAAAACTGTCCATGGGAGCCCAGGCTTTAGATGTTCAAGTTTTATGTGATAACCGTCTGTCTAAAATACTGCAGAGAGGCAGGCTGGCCAGTCTCTACTACCCTCTAATTCTTCAAGTCTGGTGTTCAGAATCCCAACATAAAATAATGTTCCCTCATCAATTCATCAATTAAATGTTCTTTTCTAAAATAGCTTACAACTGCACCAAGAGAACAGTCTATAAACCCCAAAAACTACTCCTGTCCCTACTGCAAATAAAAAGTAAATTTTCTAGAACTAGCTTCCGAGGACTCATTTTCTGACAAGGAACTTCATTTCCACTTCTGAACACATCCTTCCAAATCACCGATTCATATACTGCCTGCTGGGCTGATCTATTTGCTGTTTCTTTCAGAAAGCAAAACTAAAACCAGGTTCAAGGTACGACCACTTTAAAATACTGTGCTTAATTTAAGCTTAAAGTCGTATCCGTGTTGACGCCCCAATGCCTCACCCTACAATCTTGAGTCTAATTAATCCCTCTGGAACCTTGCCCATGTTACCTTTACCCTCACACATCTGTCACCTCCATTCCCAAATAGTTGCTTTCTCTCAAGCTTCAATAAGATCAAATTCACCCAAAAGACAAAGCTCTTCCCTGAGTCCATTTCCTCCTCAAGCTAGTAAAGCCCTCTTCCTCATGCTTTAATCATAAATACTGCATAGATTGTTTATGAGTAGTATCTCACTCGATCCTCATAATCACCCTATCTTACCCCCATTTGATAGGAAGCTGAGACCAAAAAGGTATTAAGAAAATTTACCTAGGATCATGTAATCTGAAAGCAAGTAAGTCAGATCATTTCTTCAAACTTTAAGTTCTAGCTTTGACCTTGACCTTCTCTATCCTACCCAGAACCCTAGTTCTTTCCACTTTATAGCAGACTAAGAAACAGGGCTCTGGAGCCATACTGCCTTGGTCCAAATCAGACTACATTAGACAACCTATTAATTGAGTCAAACTGGACTAAAGTTTACTAGCCCCATGCACACTAACAGAATGCTGGGCCCCTCTGCACCTCCACGGCCCTTTGCACCCACTGGGGTAAGAACCCCTGTGGGCCAGTCTCCCAGAGCAGTTTGCAGGCAGTTAGTTGTGACCTGACTGTGGTTTAGCTTGAGATCTCATCATCAGCCTTCCTGCAAATATGCCAATCACTAAACTGTTTCAGAACGTCCTAAGTACCACTTAATCTCTCCATCAGTGCTTTTAGGAAATTGCCCAAGGCAATCTTACCCACTCCATTCACTCCACTAAGTCTATCCATTGGTAAAACTACCAGATCTATGGGGGCACAAAGTGGAGAAATGTGGGACAACTGTAACAGCATAATCAATAAATTATAAAAATTAAAAAATAAAAACTATCAGATCTGCTTTTCTAAGGTATGTACCACCAATACCTCCATCCGCATAACAGGTAATATTAATTACTTCCTTGTTTTCTGCAGCCCTTTTTCAAAACCTACATCTTAAAACAATTACTAGCTCTAAGAATAAAAAACATGCTCCTAACTTTTTTGTATGTCCTGTTAAAGGATTAATTTCCTATTCTGTCTAGATAACTCTAGAAACAAGAGCTTCTAATTACTTTCCCAAGAAAACCAATTACCAACAAATAGAGCCCAGATTCCTCACTGCCCCAACCCCATCCCCACCTTACAGCCGCCCCTCATGCACACAGTGACCAACTCAGAGCTCAACAGTCTTCCAACCTTCCTGCTTCGCTCACACCACTTCTGCCACCTGAAAATGCTCCGGTCCCTAATGAATCCCAGTGTTCTCCAGAAATATCACCCACTTGTCTGTGAAGCCTTCCCAATCCCCCCTCAAGTAAAAATTAATCATTCCTGCTTCTTAAAATCGGTTGGGCTTTGGGCAACGAGGATGTAGAGTATTTCCACTGTCACAGAATGTACTGTACAGAGCTGCTCTAAGTACTATTTTCCTTGAAGTCAATTAACATTTTTATTTACTTTTAAATCCACATCTGCCTTAACAGTAACAGGTAGTGTTTCATACATCTTGAAAAGCTAAATTAAAGTTTGTATCAATTCAAATTTTTCATGCTTTTTTTGGTCTGTGTACACATATACCACAAACAGGTCCCAACTCCTTACAAAGCAATCAAATGTCACTAACGGAACATCGATCTTCACCCCGTAGCACAGCAGCAACCCCTGAAACAAGGTATTTAACTTGCAAAGTACAGAGCAAGTCCACGTTTTCTTATCGTATCATAAGAAATTATCAATACAGTACCACTTCACAATATTTACATTCTGAAAAAGTTCTCTAACAATGAGCCCACTACTGCACCAAAGAGACCCTTTGGAGTGGGGGAGAACTAGAGAAATCCTTGGCTTTTCCACTCTGCCATCAAGCTGACTGACCCGAACACACGCAGTGAGAAGAGCCAAGGCCCTACAATCACACAGTCAGGGTCTGTCCACATCCCTTCTCTGTCTTCCTAGCTGTACGATCTCTCTGGTGCTTAATTTCTCTTGCAATTCAACTGCTCATCTATAAATTGGAAAAATTACAGCACCACCCTCAACTGATTACTATAAAGATTAAATTTTGTTGATCCACTTTTAAAGTGCTCATAAGAAATAAAACATAGCTAAAATATAGCTCTTACTCTAGCTCCAATGAAGCCCTGGTCCCAGTTTCATACAAAAACAAGCCAACCAGTTTGCTCTGTAAATTCTGCTTCATACCCTGGCTGGTGTGGCAGAGTGGATTAAGCACCTGCCTCTGAACTAAAACACTGCTGGTTCGATTCCCAGTCAGGACACATGCCTGGGTTATAGGCCAAGTCCCTAGCTGGCGGCATGATGTATCTCTTGCACACCAATGCTTCTCTCCCTCTCTTTCTCCCTCCCTTCCCATCTCTCTAAAAGTAAATAAAATATATTAATTAATTCTGCTTCACTTTCTCAAACTACCCAATAAATTTAGTCAGCCATCCTAAAATCATCTACCCCCAGAAAGGTAAAGAAATTTATTATTAATTTATGTCCCTGGCATTAATTAATCTCTTAAGTTTTTGCAAAGTATTCTGGCAATTTGTACTGAAACTCTAAGCATATATATTTTTACCCTAGCAATTTCACATCTGGAAATCTATCCAACAAAAATAAAAGCATTAACATGTAAACATAAATATAAAAAACTACTTACTGAAGAACTATTTGTAATAGTAAAATATTATAAATAACCTGAGCATTTGGAGAAAACATGTTACAGTCCTAATATGGAATTACGTACTTAAGGAGGTAAATCCATATTTGACTCTGAAAGATGTCTAAAATACAGGGTGGGGCAAAAGCAGGTTTACACTTGTGAGTACTTGAAATACAGTTTATTCTTGTATTATTATTTATTAACTACTGTATTTTTCATACACACAACAGTAAACCTACTTTTGCCCCACCCTGCATAAGTGGAAAAAGTCACAAAACAGAGTATGATCCTATTTATTCAAACACACAATCTAGAAAAAGGTATGCAAGGGTAGAGAACAAACTAGTGTGAGAGGAACCTTAATTTTAACATTCCAGTGTTTTTACTGTTGCAGCAAACAAGTATTCTGCTAAGTCAGTTAGAAAAAGTCTCAGGAAACAATTTAGACTCTAATGACAAAGTTCCTACCAATCTTACATGAGAGGCTGCTGTTCAGTTCTTCAATGATTTTAAGAAACTGCTTTCATAACCTCTCCCATGAGACATATGAGGGGAATGGTGTAAGCAGTCTGAAGCGTTAGTTAACAAATCAGCCTCCTCCTCCTTTAAACCCAAGTCATCCCGCAGCTCTTTTTGGATCTACATGACATGTAAAGACATTCACTTCATAGAGAAATAATTTTCTTGCTCAAATAAAGTATCAGATGTTTATTTGCCAGTCACCCAAAAATTATACATACTCTGAGCTTTTGCTCTGATGGGTGCTTATTAATAATTTCATCTCTTCAAATTCCTAACATGTTGCTTTATTAGGAACTAAATTCATCAAAATGATACTGTAAACAATTCATGCCTTACAACCCAGCAATTCCACTCCTGAGAATATATCCAAACAAACCCAGTTAATTCAAAAGAATATATGCAGCAGTATTAACAGCAGCCAACATATGGAAGCAACCCAAGGCCCATCAATAGTCAAGTGGATAAAAAAGCTGTAGTACAGCCCTGGCCAGGTGGCTCATTTTGTTGGGGCGTCATCCCACTCACCAAGGGGCTGCAGGTTCAACTCCAGTCAGGACACATACCTAGGTTGCAGGCTGCATCCCCAGTCAGGGTGCATATGGGAGGCAACCAATCAATGTTTGTTTCTTTCTTTTTCTTTCTCCCCACACCCCCTCCCCACCAAAAAAATCAGTGAACATGTTCTCCAGTGAGGATTTGAAAAAAACAAGCTGTGGTACAGTGGTAATACTCCACTGTATATATATATATATATACACACACACACACACACACACAAAAACATAGATCTCACCATTTGCAACAGCTTGGACCTAGAGGATGTTATTATGCTAAGTGAAGTAACTCCATCAGAGAAAGACACATACCATATGACTTCACTTTATGTGGAATCTAAGGAACAAAATAAACTCATAAAACATAAACAGACTCAGAGATACAGAGAATGGACTGAGGGCTGACAGCAGGAAAGGGAGCTGGGGTCTGGGTGAAAAAGGGTCAGGATTAAGAAGTCCAAACTGCTGGTTACAAAACAGTTGCAGGGATGTGAAATACAAAATAGGGCATATAGTGGATGATACTTAGTAACTGTGGTTCCAGTGCCAGGT